GGAATCTAGCGCTCTCTGTGGCCTCTAGATTAGGCTCTTGGTCTCCCAGAGGGTTCTTAGATCTCACCATCCATTTTCTTCCACTGAGCTTAAGCATCGAAGCATTATTTGTGGAGAAAGCCAGACAAATACACGGTGGGGGAGACAGGAAATCGGGATTTGTAGGTTGGGGAGAAACACTTCTGGCTCAAGTCAGCAGGACCTGGCCTTCTTTCCAGCAGCACCCACACTTCTGCTGCAAACTCTGCTAAGTCAGACCCTGCAAAACCCAGAGGACATGCGGGCAAAAGCCTTGGTTACAGCAGATACAGAGGCAGACTTGGGAAAGATCTGCTGTGTAGAGGTGCTGTTTGGCACGCTGTGGACCTCCAAAGTAAGACATACTGTACAGCCTGTGCGCTCAGTGGCCCAGTCCTGGGTAAGGTTGGGGTATGGGGGGCAAGGGCAGGGCAGGATAACAGGTGATAGGACAAACGAGATGAAACTGAGGCTGCTGGAACGGCTGTGGAGGTCATCCACTGCACAACCCCGGTTCCAGTCCCTAGACTGCCGGACCTGGGGATGGTGCGTGCCAAGGCTGGGCCATGCAGCAGCCCTCGGATAATTGCTGTGACTGAAATACACATAAAGGGATGGAGAAACATGAGTGAGAGGGCCCTGGTGTCTGGCTCTGTGTGGGTGTGTAAAATGCAGAGAGAAGTATCAGTATTGATTCCATCAATACCTCCTCTAGACCTTCCTTCTGCGTCTCACTCTTCTTTTTTCTTTGCAAAAATTCCCACTTCTTGACAATGCATCATAACGACTAAAATGATTCTTGGCCCCATAATTCTTTGACATGCACAAGACTTGGCAGACTCACAGGAAAATGAGGTCATTTTACAAAACCTTGTAATGTTTGGAACCTGTGCTTTCCATGGTGGGCAGCGAGGCCGGGGGGAGGGGCAGTAACCCGGACACAGTCTCATCAGTTGGAAGTGTCCAAGCCAGGAACCTCCCCTCCCTCGGGGAGGTGTGACGGACGGAGGCCTTTTACACCTGGGAACGGGTTTCACGCCATTGAGAGGAAGGCTTTGCGTCTCCGAGCTGGGAGGACGGCTGGGCCGGCCTGCTCTTCCCAGCTGCTTTGCACGTAAAATCTGAGCGAGCTTATTTTAGAAAGATATTTAACGCCAAATGCCGAATGCATGGCTCACACATACCTGGGAGCGGTGGCGGCCGGTCCATCACAGGAGGGAGAGCAATCAAAGTGTCCCGTAACGTTAGCCGCCCGGGGAGGGGCGAGGGCGCGGGGGGGGGGGGGGGGGGGGGGGGGGGGGGGGGGGGGGGGGGGGGGGGGGGGGGGGGGGGGGAATAAGCTGAGAGCGTGCCGTGCTCATCCCACCCTCCAGAGTCACCAGTTCACATTCTCACAGCACAGCGGATTAGCAGCTGCAGGTTTCCTCCCCACCTACATGTCCCCTGAGGTCTGCGAGCCACCTTCTGCTAGGAAGGCCTTTGAGAGGCAGGGTTTGTCAGCACTGCAGAATACGCTGTGCTTATACCACAAACTGCTTCTTGATAAAAAAAAAAAAAAAAAAAAGAAGAAGAAATGACACGTCCCTGGGGTCTAATCCTTCTCTGTGTGAAGCCTGTCTTTCCGGTGCTGTCTTTCAAAGTAGCTCCCATGTGTCTCTAGAGGTGAGCTGGGGGTGCAGGTGTGGTGCGTGCCGTGAAGACGCAAAAAGGAGGCCTCTTTTCGGTCTGTTCAAAGCTTTCCTGTTTGGGGGGTACAGAGGTCTGCCTGCCCAAGTGCAAATGGAGAGAGGAGAGTGGGGGCCAAGCGTGAGGGCTGGAGGGACTGACGACGCCAGGGTCTCGCTCTGGTTCCACCTCTTAACTGTTAGAAGCTCTGAGGTCCTCAGCCAAATCATCTAACTTGTCTGCTGTAGCTTTATTTTTTTGTCTGTTAACGTGGGGGATTGATATCTGCCTATCCCTTGAGGTCAAGATATATAAGAGAAAGTACCCAACGGCACTGTGCAAACTAAAAGTGTGATAAGATTATCGTTATTTTGCTGCATAGTCAATATTGGACTATTCTTTCTTATGAGCCCTAATACTAATCAACATGAGACACGTGAAAAGCCCAATCAATTCAACCAACTAATGTATATTAAGAAACTACCATGTGGTGGAAATTGTATTAGCCACTGAGAGTAGAAAGATGAATATTACATGATTTCTATTTTCATATTTACTGAATTTTAAGTCCTCTGTATGCACTTGTGGGCTGTATATTTATGAGTTAACGAACTAATGGACATTTCACTTCCATCTGCCTTGGGAATCCAGACGATACATAACCCACCCCCCCAAACACAGACACACAGACACACAGACACACAGACACACAGACACACACACACACACACACACACACACACACGTCCTCACTCCTTTCCAGAACTGTGACCCTACAGAGGCCACCTCAGATCACACAGTTGCCATGACACGCAGCCCTGCAGTAAAAGAGGGTTCAGTGCTGTCAGCATGTGAAGCCCTCCGGGCCTCCCAGGGTCATTGGTGTGGGTCAGCCGGAGAAAGAGAACTCAGCTGCGATCAGTCAGTCCTGGATTTGAGTCCGGGCCCTGCTCCTTATTAGTTTAGTTAATTGCGTTCCCCTCAGCAAGACTGAGGCTGGGATTCTCTGCCTATGAGGCACACCCCCTTCAGCGCGCTCTCAGAGAATGACCAGAGGAGCTCCCAGTTCAGAACCCTTCTCCAACACTTGGACAGCTTCTTAACCTCACTTAGAACTAGAGGAGGTCATTCATTCACCCCACAAATATTCACTGGGCACCTCTATGTACCAGGCACTGCTCTCCCTATGGCAGACAGCAAGAACAAACCAGCAAGGGGCCTGCTCTCCTGGAGCTCATCCTCCAGCCTCTTCATCACACGGTTCTTCCCAAGAACACCAGGGTCTCAAACAAGCATATGGACTTGGCCCCGTTCTTCTGACCTAGAATAGTTGCTTGGGCTGCATTTTACCAACACTGCCTTATCTTAATTGCTCTCTGACATCGGGGAAAGAATTAAGTCATGATTTAGATCTTAATCTGTGCCCAAGGTTTGCTTTCCAAATGCAATGGTTACTTTCAAGTTGCCCCAAAAAGAGTGTCCGTGAGGGTCCTACAGACAGAAGGGTCTCATCCACAGCCGCCAGCACGTGGGAATTAAGAAGCGCATGGCCCATGGGTTCTTTCGGAGCCACATGGGGAGGGGCCTGGTCAGACGCTTCACCTGGAGCCAAGTGGTAGACCCTGAGATGGGGCCCAGGCGCTACAGCAAAGAGCTGGGTTTCCCTTAGATCTTGCTGTGTTCCAAAGTCCCCCTCTCAGCATCTCAGTGGCCTCATGTCCCAATGAGACTGTCACTGGCTCCACTGGCTGTGGGATTTTTAGGAGGACCAGATAAAGTAATGAAAGGGTTCCTTGAATAAACACACATGTGACATTTAACAATAACAAAAATGATACCATTTCAGGACCATCTCTCCGCCTGTATGTTGATATCACATTACCCTCTTTAGCCTTACTTTTCCTTAAAACATTAGCTTTTCCTTAGTAGAGAAAAAGGGACCTACACAGCAGTGTCTCTGGACCAAATGTAGCCCTGCATTTGCATCGATGAAAACAAGGAGAGCGGAGGGAGACAAAGGAAGCGTGTGTGGACGGGCAGAGGACAGACATGCAGGTTCGTTCCGTGTTATAGACAAACCATCAGGCTTCCTCGTGCAGGAATAAGGCGAGGCCAGTCAGGCCAGAAGTTGGTCTAGCCCTGCTGGGATGCGATGGGGTATTTGCATCCAGCCAGACAGGCCTGGAGGACAGACGACAGTACCCTTCATCATCCAAGGTAGTCACGGGACTGGCTCTCCTGAGACACACAGGGCCTGACCTCCTATTGGAGCACGAGGGTCCACAGGGCCAGCCTGGGGTGAGCTAGTGGTGGTGGGGCTCTACCTCCCTCCATGGCTCCTGGTGTCGAAAGAGAGGCCTGAGCCTCTAACGTTTAACAGAGACAGTTCAGCCAAGGCCTTCCATGCCGGAGGCTGGGTCAGCTTCCCATGCTGAGCGCACGCCTGGAGCATCCTGCCTCACTCGCTTTCTACCTCTTCTGTTAGGGACCCACGGGGTGAGGATCTGTGGTCTGAGGGTGCCAGAGGTAGAGAGAGCCTGCTGAGAGGCAACTAGCCACGAAAAGCAGCAAGTGTGCCATGGGTGGGTAGAAATCGAAAAGGGGGCTAACATTGAGTGATACTGTATCACGTACCTTATACGAGGGGCAGAAGAGGGTAAGGACTCTGCCTCCTGAGACTACCTGAGTTCAAATGCTGACTCTGCTGCTCACTTGCTGTGGGGCATTGAGCAAATTACTTTACCTCTCTGGGCCTGGTTTCCTCACCTGAAACGTGAGGAGAAGCAGTTGGGGACTTTTGTTGTGGGCATCAGAAACACCCTCTTGTTCACTTAAACAAAGGGGGACTAAGGGGCTGCCTGTAGGTAGCTCACAGAGGAGGGGGACTGCTGTAGAAAGGGGGGCTCAGAAACATCAGGCCCCAGAGTTACTCCAGGGATCCCGGAAGCAGACCCAAACCCAGGTTGCATCCGCCGTGGGGATGAATCAGGCCCCTCAAGAATCCCAATCCTGTGCGACAGAGCCTGACCGGCCTTGCAGGGTCACATGGCCACCCTTTGGCTAAGAGAGGATGCGAGACAGCCCCGCCAACCTGCATAGAGTAGGACAGAGATTGTTCTCAGAACAGAGCTGGGCGCAGTACCAGAAGAAAGCGTGAATGGCTGCCAGACCAAAATCAGAGAAATCCAACACAGTGGCCAATGACTCCCACCAATAGGGTTGTTGTGAGGAACAAAGGAGATCAAACAGTAAAGCGCTTAGCACAGTGCCTTGCTTGTTCTAAGAGGCCAACAAGGTTTAGCTGCCCTATTACTTACCTTAATCCTCAACAACTGTGAAGTATTGCCCCCGTTGTCCAGATGGGAAACTGCGACTCCAACCGGTAAAGAGTTACCCGAGGTTGCTGCGGTGCCGAGCAAGATTCTGACCCCAGCGCTCCCTGCAGAGGCAGCTGCACAAACTGCAAAGCCTTGTGCAAGATGAAAACGAGGGACACCCTGTTCAAAAAGCAGGGGGAAAAATACCATTAAAGGAGCCAAAACATAAAGCTTTTTCTTTCCTTCCTGTGTCTCTCTCTAGAGTCTTGCTGTTTTTATTTGCTACTTAATGTCATTAAAAATTTTAATCAGCGTTAATTTTACTGGTCTTTAAATTGTGCAATACCAGTTTTAAATACACATAAGAGCATTTAACTTGTATGTGGAATCACCAGATCATCCTCAGCACAGGTGGTCGGCTAATCCAGAGAAGTAACATGAGTAAGAAAGGATGTACATAGTTGACTTCCTGTCTGTGTTTCTCAGAACATCATTGCCTTATTTCTGTATTGGAAGCAAGCTCTGATTTGATTGGAAAGTGTGGCCTCTTGGGGTTTTCAGTGTCACAGGCATAACACGCTTATCTCGTGCTCAGGTTGGGTCTCACTGGATTCCCGTGCATCGTGGATCCCCTGGAATTCTGTGTTCACGGGGCACCACGCATGCCTTGTGCACGTGAAGCAGCTCGGAGAGGCTGACACGCATATTGCTGGGGTCTCCTGCATTTACTCATCTCTGCTTACGTGCATTCCCTGTCCTTTGGACTTCACTCGCAAAATACGAATTGAAAAATAAAATTACTAAGGATTCAGGACAGTGACAGCAGAGCATTAAACCAAGGGTGAGGTCCTTCTGAACTGGCCCTGCTTGCCTCTGACCTCAGAGCCCTGGCTTTTAGAACACACGCACCCCTGACCCCAGGAGTCAAAGCCTGTTTCTCCCCTGGGATTGCTTTTGCTGTATGAGAGAAACCCTGAGTTTTGCCACTAGGGCTCCAAGAGCTGAGGGCACCCTGGGCTCAGGGGAAACCAAGCAGGTGGAGGAAAGTGTGCCTGGGAACCTCTCTGCACAGAGCGTGCGACCACAGGACTGGTGAACTCCCGCATGGGCTATAATGTCCATACCAAGCGGAGCACGGTCAGGGACACACACAGGTCTGCAACTGGAACCCGCATTCTCTGAGTGCAAAGCTCAGATATATCTGCCCAGCTTCACCCAGCGAGAGGCTGAGGGGTGGAAAGCATATCAATCCCACAGGTAGTGGTGTCATGAGCCTCTGGGCTGCAGGTGGCTCCCAGGTGAGCTCTCCAGGGAATATGAAACCCTCAGAATTGGTCTTGGGCCCAGAGCAGAGCTGGGTGCCCTGCCTGCTGGCCCCTCCTCCCCAGGAGCACCACTCCAGCTCTGTGGGCTGAGCTGGGATGCCTCCCAGGGATCTGTAGGCCCGTTCTGGAAACTTCTCCCACACCCCACCTCTTTGGGATTTCCAGTGGGGAGCGGAGAATCTCCCCATCCCCACAAAGCTCCACCCCACCCCGGTGCTTCCTGGGGATTTTACTGGCAAGCCAGCCACTGGAGTGACCAGCAGGCCCCTTGGTGGGGATGGGAGGCTGCAGCAGGAGAGCAAAGAGCTGTTTCTCCTGACGTTAAAGGAAAGACAGCAAAGGGGACTGGGATTTATTTTCTGTTCCTAAGAAGCCAATAAAGACAGTGACATTGTGCCTCAGTTTCTTACCTGTAAGACTGAGGAAATTTTCAGAGGAGGGAAAGGGAGGAATAAATTGTGGAGGCTGAGCTGTAACGGCTGTAATGCCCCTTGACAACCCCGGCTCTGCCACCCACAATCTCTACAATTTGTGTTAGCCCTGCACCAGCCCCCATGCCTGCCTCTGTAAGCAGGGGGGCCGTGCCTGCAGCCTCTATGAGGATTATGGTGACACGTGGCTGTTACGTGCCCAGGCAGGCCCTATAGTGGAGGTACTGCCTTGTCGCTGTTGTCCTAGGGGGTTTTCAGAAGCTCCCGAAAAGCAGGTTTGCCTCCTTTTAAGCAGACGGAACTGATAGAGACAATAACCTTTGTCTCCACCAGTTTCAGTATTTATACTTGAAAGAAAGAGCCTTTTTATCAGAGAACAGGAAATAAGGTTTGACCTATAAATACTTCATTTTACCAACTGCCTCAGGGAAACTTCTTGGTCAACTCCCTCCCTTAAAAGCTTGTGGGAGCTCTGAGAGCTTATCCCTCCATCCCTGGAGAGCTTTTGTCTGCCTGGCAGGAATAGGCCCTTTCCAGGCCTGCAGTAAATCACTGTTGGTCAAGGGGCTCAGTGGGAGGTGAGTTGCAGCCCTGCGGGTGGGCTGAGGAGGCATCTGCTGCCTCGGCTTTTATAGGACTGGGGGCACCTCATAAACACCCTCTGCCCACACAGAAATATCATATACCTGGCAAGTAAAGCCACGCTCCCATGCTCCTTTCCTTTCTTCTAAAATGTGTGCTTCCATCAGTGTCTTATAGTTTTCTGCATACAGGGCTTTTGTCTCCTTAGGTAGGTTTAGTCCTAGGTATTTTATTCTTTTTGTTGCAGTGGTAAATGGGAGTGTTTCCTTAATTTCTCTTTCTGATTTTTCATCATTAGTGTATAGGAATGCAAGAGATTTCTGTGCATTAATTTTGTATCCTGCTACTTTACCAAATTCATTGATTAGCTCTAGTAGTGTTCTGGTAGCATCTTTAGGAATCTCCGTGTATGGTATCCTGTCATCTGCAAGCAGTGACAGCTTTACTTCTTCTTTTCCGATTTGGATTCCTTTTATTTCTTTTTCTTCTCTGACTGCTGTGGCTAAAACTTCCAAAACTATGTTGAATAATAGTGGTGAGAGTGGGCATCCTTGTCTTGTTCCTGATTTTAGAGGAAATGCTTTCAGATTTTCCACCATTGAGAACGATGTTGGCTGTGGGTTTGTCATATATGGCCTTTATTATGTTAAGGTAAGTTCCCTCTATGCCTACATTCTGGAGAGGTTTTATCATAAATGGGTGTTGAATTAGATATACCATGTTCTTGGACTGGAAGAATCAACATTGTGAAAATGACTCTACTACCCAAAGCAATCTACAGATTCAACGCAATCCCTATCAAACTACCAATGGCATTTTTCACAGAACTAGAACAAAAAATTTCACAATTTGTATGGAAACACAAAAGACCCTGAAGAGCCAAAGCAATATTGAGAAAAAAAAAAAAAAGGAGCTGGAGGAATCAGGCTGCCTGACTTCAGACTAAACTACAAAGCTACAGTAATCAAGACAGTATTGGTACTGGCACAAAAACAGAAATATAGATCAATGGAACAGGATAGCCCAGAGATAAACCCACACACATATGATCACCTTATCTTTGATAAAGGAGGCAAGAATATACAATGGAGAAAAGACAGTCTCTTCAATAAGTGGTGCTGGGAAAACTGGACAGCTACACGTAAAAGAATGAAATTAGAACACTTCCTAACACCATACACAAAAAGAAACTCAAAATGGATTAAAGACCTAAATGTAAGGCCAGACACTATAAAACTCTTAGGAAAACACAGGCAGAACACTCTACGACATAAATCACAGCAAGATCCTTTTTGAGCCACCTCCTAGAGAAATGGAAATAAAACCAAAAATAAACAAATGGGACCTAATGAAACTTAAAAGCTTTTGCATAGCAAAGGAGACCATAAACAAGATGAAAAGACAACCCTCAGAAAGGGAGAAAATATCTGCAAACGAAGCAACTGAAAAAGGATTAATCTCCAAAATATACAAGCAGCTCAAGCAGCTCAATATCAAAAAAACAACCAACCCAATCCAAAACTGGGCAGAAGATCTAAATAGACATTTCCCCAAAGAAGATATACAGATTGCCAACAGACACATGAAAGGATGCTCAACATCACTATCATTAGAGAAATGCAAATCAAACTACAATGAGGTATCACCTCACATCAGTCAGAATGGCCATCATCAAAAAATCTACAAACAGGGCTTCCCTGGTGGTGCAGTGGTTGAGAGTCTGACTGCCAATGCAGGGGACACGGGTTTGAACCCTGGTCTGGGAAGATCTCACGTGCCGTGGAGCAACTAAGCCCATGCGCCACAGCTACTGAGCCTGAGTGCCTGGAGCCTGTGCTCCGCAACAAGAGAAGGCTGCGACAGTGAGAGGCCCGCGCACTGCGATGAAGAGTGGCCCCCGCTCACCGCAACTAGAGAAAGCCCTCTCACAGAAACGAAGACCCAACACAGCCAAAAATAAATAAATAAAAAAAAATCTACAAACAATAACTGCTGGAGAGGGTGTGGAGAAAAGGGAACCCTCTTGCACTGTTGGTGGGAATGTAAATTGATACAGCCACTATGGAGAACAGTATGGAAGTTCCTTAAAAAACTAAAAATAGAACTACCTTATGACCCAGCAATCCCACTACTGGGCATGTACCCTGAGAAAACCATAATTCAAAATGAGTCATGTACCACAATGTTCATTGCAGCACTATTTACAATAGCCAGGACATGGAAGCAACCTAAGTGTCCATCCACAGAAGAATATATCCACACGAGAATATATCCACACAAGAATATATCCACACAAGAATATATACAATATATACAATGGAATATTACTCAGCCATAAAAAGAAACAAAATTGAGTTATTTGTAGTGAGGTGGATGGACCTAGAGACTGTCATACAGAGTGAAGTAAGTCAGAAAGAGAAAATCAAATACCGTATGCTAACACATATATATGGAATCTAAAAAAAAAAAAAAGGTTATGAAGAACCTAGGGGCAGGACAGGAATAAAGACTCAGATGTAGAGAATGAACTTCAGGACACAGGGAGGAGGAAGGGGGGGTAAGCTGGGACGAAGTGAGAGTAGCATGGACATATATACACTACCAAATGTAAAACAGATAGCTAGTGGGAAGCAGCCGCATGGCACAGGGAGATCAGCTCGTGCTTTGTGACCACCTAGAGGGGTGGGACAGAGAGGGTGGGAGGGAGACGTAAGAGGGAGGGGATATGGGGATATATGTATACGTATAGCTGATTCACTTTGTTATAAAGCAGAAACTAACACACCATTGTAAAGCAATTATACTTCAATAAAGATGTTAAAAAAATAAATTAATTAAATAA